GCACATATTGTAAATGTAAATATGGAGTTCATTCTCGCAAATTAGATTTTATTTCCAAACAACCTGGTTGGCATTGGGAAAGGATATAAAGAAAGGCCTTTGATCATTCCGATCTAATTATTACTAGGTTTTGATTAATTTACATTAAACATTTTGAATACCTTTCGTTCAGTAACTTTACATGTTCACATAATTATATATCTCTATGCATGTGTAGACATAAATTGTAAATACTAATATGGAGTAAATTCTTGAAATTATTCCCAAATAACCTGGTCGACATTGGGAAAGGATGTAGCAAGAGGAAGGCCTGTGGATAGTTCAGTGTAATTATTACTAGCTTTTAAATATTTTATATGGTATGTCACAATTCCTGAAAGTATTGGAAGATGTGCCAACTCACAGACACATGGCAGGATAAAAATTAATCAACCTCATGAAATATTAAGGACATAGTACAGTGGTTCTCACCCTGTGGGTCCTCAGATGTTTTGGCCTTCAACTCCCAGAAATCTTAACAGCTGGTAAACTGGCCTGGATATCTGGGAGTTGTAGGCCAACATACCCGGGGACCCACAGGTTGAGAACCACTGATGTAGGAGGTTCAAGCAACCTTTTTCTTTTCCAGAGAGAACTACCAGTCAAGATGCTTCTCTTTTGCCTTGGTCTTCTCAGTTCAGTGATTGCAGTAATATGGGGGAAAATATACAATCACCAAGCTGATGATTATTCTTTGTCAGACATATATCTCATTTCAGATCCCTAAAAACAGGGCAGATTAATAGGATGGTTATTTTAGTACTTTGCAATGCTATTAAAAATAAGCTAGGGGAAGAAGCTAGGGGAAGTATGATTGTTGGAGGTGGGAAAGGGGAAGTTGCACTATTTTTTAAAGCACCCGTGGGATACCATGACTTCCTTTAGAAGAACAGGGTGACTTTTCAGTATCAGGCCACACTCCCTTGTGAATGGTTTCATTGAGGTCATGTGTTGGCAGTGGTTGGAACTGAAGCAAATATCCAGAGCTGGTAGTAGCTGATCCCAACTTGGTTGGGCTTTTTGTTTCCGCTATTCCTCTCTTTCTTTGCTTGCCTGCCTTTTAAACTGGTGGAGAAGGTACCAGAGCTTAGAAAAGACACTTGTTCAACTCCTAGAACCAAATGGAAAACGTGTCTGTGCTCTTGGCCGCTCTTGGAGGTACCTCTCAACTTTATGATAGAA